GGCTGCTGCGCGGGGAGGAGGGCGAGTCGTGTGGTCTGGGGGAAATGGGGGTGGCGGTCGGGGTTTATATACCGGGCGGCCGGCGGGGAGGGGTGGTGGCGTGGGGTTGGTGGCGAGGCAGGGCGGGGGATTTGGTGGGTGGCGACGAGACGGGACGGCGATGGAGGGAGAGAAGGGGAGGCGATGCGGGGGTAGATTTGGCCGTGCCGGAGACCGGATTTGCCGAGGCTTTTTACGTGGAAAGGTACTTTCGGGGGGTTTGGTGGCGAGTATGACAAAAGGGTCCGCGGCGCACGGGCGGTGGGGCACACCTGGCTGTGGGCTGATACGTACACGGTGGAACCGGTCCGTCCTCGGGTATGGTCGCATGGATCGGCTCAGCTGGGGCAAGCAAGATGGCGTGTGTGTACGCACGTATCCGCATGACCGCGGTTGGCGATTGCTGTTTTTAGGCTAGTTTTGGATTCTTGCCAAAAACCACCCCATCCATATTTTGGTTACAATTAATTTTTCGGTTTTTTGCTTTAATCATGGCCAATTTTTCAACAGGCCAATGCTCTTTTTTCTTCTAAATAAGGCTATAATTAAAATATTGTTTTTGCTTGAATCATGGCCAAATTTTTCAACAGGCCAATGCTCATTTTTCTTGCAAGGGTTATATTAAAAAGTTGTTTTTGTTGAATCATGGCCAATTTTTCTACTGGCCAATGCTCATTTTTCTTGTAAGAAGTTGCGATATGAGTATTCATATTGTAAAATTAAACACACCATACTCAGAGCTACGCAACGCTCGGCGATTGTGAATATTCGTGTAAGAGTTATGATGTGAATATAGATGAACAATTAAGATCTTCGGTAAAACTAAACTTAGATCGAAAGTCATCTTCTGCTCCCGAACTCAAATGAGCTAAAAGAATTTGTGGCCACTTTGACGAATGTTTTGTGTGCTTGACAAATTTTAGCACGAAATGGCATTCGTGCAAGTCACTGCAAACAAAAATCTATACTCCAAATCCTTTTAGAAAATAGCATTTTTGGAGCAATGATTTTGTTTTTTCCACGACTTCCAGGAATGTCATTTTATGGTAAATTTTTGCAAGCACGCAAAAGGTTTGTTAGAGTTTATCAGATTTTTTCCCACAAATGTCATTTCATGATAAATCTAGAATTTCACAATATTTCAAGTACTATTTTTTGATTCTATTGTTCATCACTGAGCATTTGAGCTTAGGAGCACATGCTCCATGTCCAACTTAGATCAAACATTCTCGGAGTTGGCATGTCGTCCACCTTTTGTATCTCACATTTCTTTCGAGACCTAGTGAAAAAACCATTAAGATTGAATATGTATAAATTGGACTAGTATTATCGGTTTTGCATAGCCACTTGAACCGCTCACACTTGTGGGGATGTGTTGTGGCCAAGAAAACATTCTTTATATGGCATTCTTCGAATGGTTCGTTCATCATCATAATAAAGGGGATAGGTTCGCAAGCACAAAGGAACAAAGCATGATAGACGTTGACCAAACAAAATTTGATACCACTATCATCACCACCGCGCAAAGACAAGTCAAAAGCACAGGACGACAAAACCTCCGAATTTAAAGCTAACCAAGAATCTACGGTACTAAAACATCACATGCTCTTTGGTGTTTCCCATGTTGGCCACGACGACCACAACATGATAAGGATAGAAACGTGGAACTTTTATTCCGTCACACACCACCTTCATCATCGAGACATCGTCGTTAAACACACACAAATTAAATTCAACATGGAGATATTAAACTACAATATAGATGTAAAATCCAAGGTTTCTCCCACCTCCTAGCACCAAATCGGCTGAGGGGGACTAAAAGAATTGTCGACGGAAGGTGACAATTTTCTCCTGGCCATGTCGTTCTATGGTTTATGGATATTCGAAGCTGACTACAACTTTTCTGAACTCAACATATATCTTTAATTTTCAATCAATTTATGTTGTTACATTTGGTAATTTCTGTAATGATTTTAAGATAATTTATCTTGGCAATGGTAGCTAAGGAAAAACATTTTATATTTGTTTAATGTTTCTAACAATACATGTGTTTTGGCGAATTGAGTGTAGTTCAGATGGTTAGGTTCGTTGTGGTAGAACCATCCTGCCAAGGTTCAAGTCCTAGACTTGGCACAGATGCTCGCATTTTTCTGAATTTATTTCAGACTCCTCGGCGATATTCGTTCAGTGTGATCGTTCAGTGCGAGGAGACATTCCTGTCGACTATGAAGACGTCTGTGATGATTTCATCATTCCCAAGATGTTGTCACTGTGTGTGTGCGCATTTATAGAGATTAATGTATGTCCATGTTTGTGGGCATTAGCGTTTGCGCCGTGTTAGAAAAATAATACATTAGTTCTACTGGTGGATACATTGGTTTTAGCGATGACACGTATAACAATTGTTGAGACTAAAGAGAAATAAGGTTAAAAAATAGTTTGTGCCTTGCATTTAAAATGAGTTTTTGTCTTCTCAATTTCGGAAAATATTCTCTCTTAGTCACATGTTCATGAAATTCAATTGTAATTGCCACATAATTCTAGTAGACAAATATTGGTTGTTAAAGATAATGTGCAAAGCATATTTTCTCTTAGTCACATGTTTATAAAATTTGGTTTTAACTACCAGATTATTTTAGTAGCCGAATATTAGATGCTAAAGATAAATGTGAAGAGCATATTTTTTTCTCTTAGTCACATGTTTATAAAATTTAATTTTAACCACCACATAGTTTTAGTAGCCAAATATTAGTTGCTAAAGATAATGTGAAGAGCATATTTTCTCTTAGTCGCGTGTTTATAAAATTTAACTTTAATTACCACACAATTTTAGTAGCCAAATATTAGTTGTTTTCCGTAGCCGAATATTAGTTGCCAAGATAATGCGAAGAGCATATTTTCTCTCAGTCACGTGTTTATAAAATTTAACTTTAATTACCACATAATTTTAGTAGCCAAATATTAGTTGTTTTTCATAGCCGAATATTAGTTGCCAAACATAATGTGAAGAGCATCTTTTCTCTTAGTCAAGTGTTTATAAAATTTAATTTTAAATAGCACATAATTTAGTAGCCAAATATTCCCTCTGTACCACAATATTTGTCGCTGGGGAACTTTGTACTGGTTTCCCCAACGACAAGTATTTCGGTACAGAGGGAGTTTTAGTTGCTAAAAATAATGTCGTCTTTTCTCTTAGTCTTTTTTTTGCGGCAAAGAGGAGTTTTGTTCCAAAATTATAGGATTACAATCTACTGGCAAGAGATCCTCGATACATGAAAGGCCTCTCTGAAGCCAAACAGCAATACACGATTCTGTACGGCTGTAATTAGCCAGACAATCTGCTATCCTATTTTGAT